AGAATGCAAACTCAATTTTTGTGAACAGATGATTTAACTTGAACAACAGCTTATCATGTACAGAACTATTGTTTCTAAAGCTCAATAGCTCAGTAAACATTGTCGCGTATGAACCTTTCCTAGAAAGCATATATTAAACTAAGAGCAAAGAAAGAATAAAGGCAAACATTCAAGATCTGCTTAGGACAACTAAAGAGAAACCTTGTATAGTATTGCTGCTTACACTAAGATAAACTCAGTAGGAGGTGGCCGAATCTTGATTTTGTAACATTCATTCATTGTACAAGCCATCATATAAATTCACACACTATAATAATTCAAGATTCTAGGTTCTGTATCTTCCTTGAAGTTAATAGAAATTTGAGTTACCATACACTGTTGCCAGCTTCAAACACTTGAAATCAGCTCTCATTCTTGTGATCAGGACCTGAAATAACATGTACGCAGTTAGACAATTGGATTATCAAATATAAACTTCTCTTAGTAGTTCACGTCACAGTCACACAACAAAAGTATCAGTAATGCATTTTAAAGAAAGGTAGAATCTTCTTTTTTAACTAAACAATCCAAAGTCAATTCCTAATACCTTACTTGACGAGTCTTTCTACACTAAGCCTCCATTTGGATACAATTTATAAACAATTATGTTAGGTGTACATTCGTTTGTACATCTAGCCTTACATTCCTCCTATGTGGCATAATATAGGCAGGAAAGAGAAAGATTGTTGGGGGAAATCAAAGGGGATGATCGTGCCACGTCACAGAGTATAAGAGAAGATGTACACAAGAGTATACATGTATCATGGTTGATTCATAAATTGGTTTATAAGTTAAAAGTCAAAATCAAATATTAATTTCAACCTGACTTTCATCATAACTACTACTCATTTTTACACACATTGAGTGGGATTGAGCCCCGCTAATTTTTCTCTTATTATTCCTATTTATAAATTTGTGAAACGGAGGCAAAAATATGCAATACTTAGTTAAAACATACAATACTTAGGGATTAACTTACGGTATGAGAGAATAGCAAACGTAGCCTGTATGATGGTGAGCACAAGCAAGGCAATGGCAGCAAAGACTGAAATGAGTGCCCATGGAGTGTTGAAATATTTTCGCCTTAATATTGCCATCCATCTATTCCTTTTGTGGCCACAATGATGGTTCACAAAGTTGAAAGTATTAAAATACGAAAACTTATCAGAAATTATACTATTCTTGCCTAGCTGGTTGATTAAATTATAAACCATTTCGTCGCTCCCCAAAAAGTTGCTAATGATTCCATAACGGCGCAACAATTTTGCATCTTCAGGAGAATGGACGAGACAATGCATGAAGAATACATAGTCTGTCACACATTTTTGTCCGCCTGTGAGGTAGTTCTCATATGCAATCAGATTTCGGAATAATGATTCTGTTGAATCAGAAATTTCCCATTTTGGAATGATCATTGCTTTATTTTTGAATTCAATACCAAAAAAACTATTACCTTCCGACTTTTTGAACGAAATCCCTGCCTCTTTGAGCTCTACAGCTGAATTTATATTCACCATTTTATCTGGATTTCCAGAATCCATCTGAGATAATATCATTGCAAAGGAAGAACACT